TCCTTGGAGTGAGAATGAATGGATGAATGGGATGAAAATAAGTAGTGGTGATGCTGGTACTGATGCAGCTATCTTTAAACAGCTCCCATAGGGCAATTAGTCGAAAACAGATATTATTAAGAAAGGCCTACATGGCGGATAAAGCGCAACTCCATTCCTCTCTCTCAAAACCTATTGTTGATTAAAAAAAAATTATAGCATGGTTATTATTATTATTATTATAGTGATAATCAGTGAAATTAAATTAAGGATTTACTTTTTTTGTTGTTGTTGTTTCACTTTGCTTTGATTGATTTTATTTCATTTTTGTTAGGTTTGGTGGGGTTTCTTCCAACTAAACGAAAAGTACAATATTAAAAAAAATGTTGAATTTTGTTAAAAGAAAAAAAAAACTATAATGTATTAAATTAAAACAAATAACAAAATAAAATAAAAGCAGGCGTGCCTTCAGAGGCCGCAGAGGAACCCGGCTGGTTAAAATACAGGAGGGAGTTCTCATTAAATCTGTGTGATAAGATAACAGGGGGAGCATGCAATAACCTTACACCTCCCAGCCTGACCCCCCACTATTTCATTTTGCTGCTGAAATATAGAGAAAGGCTTCTGGAGAATTGTCGCGCAGGTACACACCGTGTAAAACTTAACCTCCAATATCTGCATCCTTTGAATGAAAAAGAACAGAATAAAAAAAAGCGAAGATGTAGAGCAGGTGAGGAGGAGGACTGGGGGGAAAATGGTTAACAGCATGACTGCATGCAAATTTCCTCTTGCCTCGAATTATCATAAGCAAACAATGTGAGCCTGGACTAATAAAAACCCATCTGTGTAACTTCATATCGAGGTAGTATGAGGGGTTGCGATAATGAATTTTGTAATATCCCACCGACAGACATCTCAATCAGACTCTAATCCCGTGATTTTACCACGGAATCACTCCACTTCCAACTGCTGCAGCAAAACACGCGACTCGGCTCACGCAAAAACACGGAGCGTTTCACCCACCGCACAATAAGAAGACAATGCGGTAAAACAATCTAGAATATGTCTGACAACAAGTAAGGAGGGCGTCACAATCATTTTAAACACTTGTGTAAAATGACTGACTCCTTTTGAAATAGAGATCATTAAAATAATTCACTTTTATTTCAGAATCACTTCATCCCAAAAAAATAAAAATAAAAAATCATACGTTATTGGAAATACTGAGCTGCCAATCACCAATGAGTTATTTATTTTTGTTGTGATTTTTAACATTGGTAAGATTAAAAAAAAAGCAATATGTGTTTGTTTCCTGACATTTCGGGTTGAATATCAGCTTTTAGACACTTTCAATGTATTTAGGTTATTGTCTGGGGATGTCCTCTTTTAGTCAATTTTAAAAAGCATAACTACTAAACAAAACATTTGTCAACCACATAATATTCAAACTAACTGGCTCTCTTGTTTTGTTTTGTTTTTTCAATCACAGAACGGTGACCTTTTAGAGCCAGAATGGAGTCTCACTGCCGCAAACTGGCCACCACTTGCGCACAAATAGGTGAGTAACATTATACCTGTTCATTTGTTTAGAAATATCCAGGAAGGGGAAAAAAAAAACGGATTTATCAGGAGATTTACAAGCTGAATGTTGCTCAAGTTTAAACTAATTAAAGTAAATCACAAATGTAGAGGATGCCTCTGATTATGAATGATTCTGATTAATAATACTACTACTACTAATAATAATAATAGTATTATTAATAATACTAATAATAATACTACTAATAATAGTGTTATTATTAATAATAGTGTTATTGATAATAATAATACTAATAATAATGATGATAATAATAATAATAATAATAATATGCATTGAATAATTTAACATTTAAAATGATCTAATTTAATGCAGTTTTATTTCTAATTAACAGTCTAATTCTAAAATTACTTAAAATAAGAGTTAGATGCGTAAATATGTTCTGGCTATTTCAGCAGTGTGATCAGAAATAAGGCAAGTTGGGCTGATTGCTGTTCTTTGTATTACTGCGACACCTAGTGGTCGGGTGTGTTATTTATTTGACCACAGGCTAAGTTGAAACCAGGCGGCTGTTAGCGACACCCAATTTAAGCACATAATTGAGGTTTCATCGCTTTAATTCCAAACCAGCATTTATTTGAGTAATTTTAAAGCCAATTCGTCGCATCAACATTTGAGTCGGCTCTGTCCACATGAGGGATGATTTTCACAAAGGTTTGTTTCAGTCATTTCTTTTTTTGCACTCTAATTTGATTAAAAAGTCACATTTAAGTCAGTCAATTTACGCAAAACCTATGCGGCTACAAGCTTTAGCATTTCATCCAAATCATCACATATTAAGAATAACATGATTATTTTGAAGCAGAGACTGGAGAACAGAAGCTGTAGATCAGAGAGACAAAAACCCGTCATCTGTGCTGGCCTGTTAATATATGCAGCGCTTGGTGGATCGGCTCCTGGGAAAACTAAATGTATAATGAAAGCCCATTCGTGAGCAGGAATACGCTAATGGTGGAATCTGATGTCTTCTTAATCCTATGTAAAAAAGCCTTGTCGTCTCCCGCTATATTGACTGAATTGCTAATTAATGGCCCTCTATGGTGGAGGCCTATTGCACGCAGTAATCCGCAGAAGAGAGATAAAGCATTCAGAAGGTAGAAATGAAGAGGAAACCGATAATCCACTTCAAGTTTAGTATTGCAATATGCCTGGAATAAAAAAAAAGGAGCATCACACTGTTTGATCTGTGGCTTTATTATTATTATTATTATTATTATTATTATTATTATTATTATTATTATTATTATTATTATTATTATTATTATTATTATTATTA